CAGGAACTATTTCTTTTAATTTATTCTAAAAAATTTATACATAACGTGCTTAGTCAGTGTGAATGAATACATAAAGTGCAATTAAAAATGGGTGTTCAATATACTGTAGCTCCAGCGTAACTGATGGGACCCATGCTTTGCTCTTCAGAACATGGAAGTCTGTTTTTTCACCTAACGCTATTTTCAGAAGGTGTTGTTAGACCACTGAAATGACTATCATAATTCTTTTGTATGTAAGGAACCTTTTGATGATGATAGATAAAACTCACTAGAGTGATAATTAGATTGTCAACATAGGCATAATACAGTAATTTCCTAATCCTTATTGGGTGTTAACTGTATGGACATTAATCATATAACACATGCATATTTTACTTGGATTAGTTGTACATATTTATTATCTCTTTTTTAAAAAGAAAAATCTTGACATACTTAGCTAAAGAAGTTGTTTTGGAATTGTTTGAATTTTGTCTAAGTCAATATTTGATATTTAATGTGCGTATCAGCAGTATTGGAGTTTAAACGTATGATCTCTGACAGATTAGTTTCAAAACTATCAAAGGAAATTTTCTTATAATTATTTCAAAAAACTTTGGAAAATCTTTGTGAGCAATTAGTTTACAGTCTAGAAAACAAAATTATTTACAGATTTGGAAAACAATCTATTTATGAGAAAATATATTTAGGTGTTATTGATTAGAATGACGGAACTGTCATTGTTAATTTCCTACCACTTTGTTTGTAATTCTGTATTGTCTGTACTGTTCTTTTGCTATTTTGTAAAAGGTTATCTGTCTGTTAATGTTTTCCTCCTTTTATTTTTAAAATAAAAAAAGAATGACAGAACTGTATCTTTATGCACTCTTAGTATAATTTCTTATCACCTGACAGACTTCAAAGCTATTAGAAAAGATCAAGATAGGATCAAGTGAAGGTTGAGGATGAATAGGTCTTCAAGGGGGATGATCTTTCTCTGATCTGATGAGCTGTTTCCATTCCATTTGTTCCCTTTCTCTTTTTCTCTTTATTTTTCTTTTCCTGGTAGACCACTGATTATCAAAGCTTTCGGCCTGATTAACAATGATCCAATTGGATTCAGGAATAAGACCTTTGTAAAGACAATTCCAAATCAACATATTACCGATATTTATAATGCTATTTGTTTTTGGATTCCATCTTCAGTAATTTCTAATATTTTCTTGCAAGTATTATTCAAAAATAGACCAGTCAGTGTTTTAATTCTGCTATTACAGTGTCTTCATTTACACTGGCAGTGTGTGGGCAGAAGACTTTTGATGGATCTCCATGATCTTGTCAGATGATCACAAAGTTTGAGTCAGAAGGCTTGGGGTCCAGTGTGTTAAGTTGGAGTCAATCAACTAATGTTTAAAATGATTTGCTATTTTAAATATTCAACATACAGATGCACATGTGAACATATTGATCACATTGTATATATATTTATCATTCCATATCTAAAGGATTTTCATATATGCATATACTGTCTCATTTTTAATAAGGTCACTTCATTACTCTTTCTGCCTTACCCTAATACGGACAGAATTAAGCTTAAAATATCTTCCATGGATATTCATGCTCAGCTGGGTTTTGTTTCTATCTGGCATTCAATCTGGGTTCACTGTTTGCTCTTATGTTTTTTTTTTTTTTTTCTTTCTGGTACCAGGAATCGAATTCACGACCTCGTGCTTGCCAGGCAGGCACTTTGCCACTGAGGTAAATGCCCAGCTCCCTTGCTCTTATATTGTGCTGTGCTATAAATCAAACTTTAAAAAAATTTCTTGTGAAGTAGGTTATAGTTACAGGATATACTGAGATAGTAAAGTGCAGAATTACAGACGAGCCACTAAGAAAATTCTCACATTTTATTAGATAGGGACTTTATTAGCCTTAAATACAATTTACTCGTGGCATTTAATGGTAGATCATTGGTTTTAAAAATGTCACTCGGCTGGAATAGAAGTTAATTAGAGGCTTGAGATGTCTAGATGATATGTCAGTTTTGTACAAGTGGTGACCAGCCAGCCTTTTGCCACAAAAAAAGAGCATCATCAGTGATCATGTATACTGGTCCCAAGAAAGACTTGGAATCTAAACTACAATATTTAGCTTTCACAAAATCTGCTGATTACAAGAAAAAGTTTCATGTACCTCATGAACAAAGGTGATTACAATAGTTTCTAGTTTTGCAAGGGACTATATAAAACATAGCAACTTTTCACCTCACAGCCGGCATTTAGAAATCCATGTCTCTCCTGTATTCAACTTGATGTCCCTAGCTTTCTAAAATTCTCAGAATCTTGCCACATGTGGCATTTACTTTGTACAATTAGTGTGTAAACTAGATTAGAAATAAAGCGGATTTGGACTGTCTCCCTCAGGGGTGTGGTCTTGCAGTGTGTTGGCATTATTTCCTGTTTCTGTGGAAGTGGTTAACTCACGCTTGCTGCCATGGCGGCTTAGTCAGCTTGGCATGCCTTCTGCGCATGCGCTCTGATGGGACTGTCAGTGGAGTGGCGGCTCGGCCTCCACTCTCTGCAGGGCTGAAGAGCTCAGGGATGAGCCCAGCGAAGCTGATGCGAGGAGGCTTGCTGGCTGGGAAGCATCCTTCACTGTGGGTGTGAAGGGAGAGCTTTGGGGTTCCTCCCCAAGACTCAAATGCCCTTGCAGTTCTTCTGTTTCTTATTCTTTAAAAAATAGTATTTTGTTTAAATTTCCAAAACTGTTAAACTTTTCTTTTGCCCCTTACACTTGAAACTTTGTTATATAAATGAAGGACGAGGTACATTCCAAATTTTGTCAAGAATGCCCTTTCATGCTTATGTCCCATTCTGCCTTTATCTTTCCATGCAGAGATTTTCCTACAGAGAAATTGCTTCCATTTGCCTTGTAACTTCCTTCTCCTTTTCTTCCTTTTTATCCATTGGAACTCTTTCTTCCTTTTTTGTTTTTCCATACTATGGTTTGAACCCAGGACCTTCTCCTTGAACTACACTCTCAGACTGATCTTCCTCCCTTCTTTCCTTCCTTCCTTCCTTCCTTCCTTCCTTCCTTCCTTCCTTCCTTCCTTCCTTCCTTTCCTTACCTCCCTCCCCCCCTCTTTCCCTCTCTCCTCTCTCTCTCTCTACCTCTCTCTCTTTTTCTTTCTTTCTTGCAATCCTCTGCCTCAGCTTCCCTCAGTGGTGGGATTACAGGCATCACCACTTTGCCTGGCTCATTTTCATCACTTTTGACTACATTTTAATTTAAATTTGAGTATGCAAATTTATTATAATATAGTATTGCTGAAAGTTTACATATGTCTTTTGGCTTTGATCTGTTTAGATTTTTGTAGGGATGGAGACCCTTGTTAAACTTCCTCTCCACTGGTACAGTTTCTCACATTTCTTAGCCCATTATACTTCATTTCTGTCTCACAACTGATAGATGAGACCACTGCCATCTAAGCATACTGTGGAGAATTAGTCTTTAAATTTAACAGAGGAATTCTTAACACTTTGTGCCTAATGCTCTAGTTTTGGGATGACACATAATAATGGAGCAGAATAAAAGTTTTTCTCTCTTCAAATTTTTGTTCCTTCAGTTTTTCTAGGGAATATGTATGAATTGCATGGAAAGATTAAAAAATAATTGCAATCTTCAGCTTAAATAGGTTCAGTCTTCTGTTAGACAACATTCTATTATCAGTGGTAATACTTACAGAGTATCTTTAAAAAGGAACAGATTATGGAATTAAATTTTAAGCACAGAAAGCAATAGACTAATGTAAAAGCTGGCCTAAAGGGATGTTTGCATTATCCGGTGTGGACTGGATCTCCACAGAAGAGCAGGCACAGAGGATAGTGCTTAGTGAATGGTCACGAACCATAGGCACCAGCAGACTGCTCTGACACCTGCATGCTCCTGAAACCTAAGCTGATAATTTGTGACTCTTTGTGAGGGAAACTTCAATACATTTACATTTATTGTTTGGCCTATTCTGAGTTCCAGGTGTGTAGACAGACACAGCCACAACAGAAATCACTTTTCCAAGTGTTCCAGGCGTTGGTCAATGCCCTTTATGTATAATAATGTCTTTAATCCTTTGATGACCCATGAAGCAAGCTTTCACATTGTTCACGTCAAAGAATGGACGTGAGACTTCACCTTGCCCAAGGTTGCTCATTGCGCGGGTAGCGAGGGCTGGTATTTGAACTCAAGGATTTTGCTTCTTGATGCCGCCCTTATTTGCTAGCTATTTTTGGCTCTTGTGAAAGCTCATCACATGGGAACATTAATGTGAAGCTCAGAAGGACAAGGAAAAAAAAATTTGGGGGGAAGGGGGGAAAATATATCTCCAAAAAGTGGCTAGTTGACTGACCAGGACGTGTGTGACCAGCATCTGGTGAGTGTCCAAGGAAAATGAGGCGGCTGGAATTCTCTGCCTACGTGAGCATGCTAGGGGAGGAGAAAACAAGCCATTGCTAGGTGTGCACATTCTGAGTTTACTCTTAGATGACCTCCGGGAAAAACAAATGCGCTTGCGAAAAGCAAATTGTGTTTCCATGAATTTGGTAAAAACTAAGTACGCTACTAAGAGGCGCTGAGCGTAGAGCTTAGCACGTCTTCCTTCATCTCTCCGCGCCCCTTCCTTTCCTCCTTCTGAAACGTGTTATACAGAGCAGGACTCTGCAAACTGTCCAGATTAAAACTTTAGTCACTTGCAGGAAGGCGCTCCTAGAGGGTGTTACTGGTGACAAAGAGGGAGTGAGGTCGGTGGTTTTAAGGAGAATCCATGTTGTTTCTCTAATGAGTGAATACATGTGCATCGACTTCAGTAGTTAGATTGCTAAAAGATTTAGAGTCGATAAATCGTACAAAATCAGTGTCTTTTGCTTTTTGTGCCCTGAGGATGGATTAGAAAAGCCAAGCACTTTGTGTAACAATTATGTGTTCATGTAGTCATTTGAATGGTAAGATTTATGGTTCTTTTTCTTTTCCAGCGTCTGGCTTTGAAAGCGGAGAAAGTGCAAGCAGCCCACCAGTGGCGAGAGGACTTCGCAGTAAGGATACTTTCACCCCTCTTGATTGATGTCCATTGACTTTTATGTGTGGATAACTATGTTCACGTTGAGATACTCTGTAGCGATGGCGTCTTATGGTGTTAACACGACCCCAAATCAGCATTGCTTTGTTCTTTTTTTCTTTAATTACTTTTAGGTAATCCAGGGCAATTATGGTAGGAGAAACATTCTTGTTCATGTTCTATATTAAAAAAAGAAAAAAAAGTCCTTTAAAATATTCTCCCATTCATGTAGGTTTTTATAAAATCCATTAAAATAGAATTAAATTGCAACATCTGCATAATCTTTGTAGATGTCAGGAATACCTTGGTTGAAAAGTGTGGGTGCACTTTGAGTTTCTTAGAAGCCATGTGCATCTCATGATTGCTTTGTTGGGGCAGTGTGACTAGAGTGAGAAGGAGTATAATAAACCTTTTAAAATGTAATTTGCTTCACTTGGCTGGAAGGATCCTTGCTCTGCTCTGGCCCCCTTTTAGAAATGCCAGTTGGCATTAGCTCCTGCTTTTATTTCTGTAAACGTGTTTTGTGGACGAAGGGCACTGGTTTCCTTATACAAATAACAGAAATGCATCTGTGGTGAGCTCAGGCTTGCTGCTGCCTACCTGCCTTCCCTCTTCTGTCCTTAGCGTCAGCTAACGGACTTCTGTTACATATTTGGGGTATTTCTTTTACAGTGGGAAATGCTTTAATTTCTGATCATTGAAAAATTCCATACATTTCATTTTAGGGATGTGAGTTTCCCTTAAATCCGCTCCTTAATTAAAATAGTCTTAGCATGTGAGTGACAGCTTGACTGTAATTTGTTATGTCCTATCAAACGTGCCAGATTTAAAGCTGTGCTTTAATAGAACACTAAACAGAGGTTCAGGAGTTAAAACTTTTGTTTTGGTTTCGTTTTATATCAAAGGAAAACACACTGAATGATATTTTATTCACTGATGGTATTTATTAAATCTACCAGGCTTGAAGTTTCTGATACTATTTTTTTCTCTTTCCCACTAATTTATAATGTCTTAAGTAATCTACCAAGTAGAAACTACTTGATTCCTATGAATTTGTAAGTTGATCCATTGCTTGAGTCATTGGTATCAGGTAGATAGATACTAGCTTTGCCCACACCTGCTTATCATGGTTAGGTTAATAAAGATGAATTTGTCACCTGTAATAAAGAAAAAGTCAGTGACTGATTAAAAAAAAAAAACAAAACAAAAAACAGCTCCATGAGCACTGAGGACAGATTGTTAGCTCATACAGTGATGGGGGGGTTGTGGTATTTGGTTTTAGTTGAAATGCAAATAAATTTGAGATTTCTCAAATAGACAAAATAGAAAACACTTATCCCCATAAATATTTCATTAATATTAAGTAGAAATCCCTCTTCCGTCCTCCCTGCTGACAAGAGGCAAAGGCAGGGGCAGTGGACAGTGTACTACGTGGAAAGCTAGACGCATTCTACCTTGAGTTGGGTTAGCACAGTTGGTGCTCATTTAGTTTGAATCCTTTATTAGGAAACTCAAAAAATCATTAAAGTACGTAAAACCAGCTTCTGTCATATATAAATTATACACTTCTGAGAACCTGGTTTTTATTCATATCATCTGGTGGTATTTCAAGTAGTTATTAGAAAAAGAGAGCTTGGAAAGCAGGGTTGCACGCACGCGTTTTACATCACTGAGAATGTTTTCTTTCCCTCATTTGTCACTCCCCTGGCTTCATGTTTTTTCCCAGACATGCTGCAGGCCCTTTTGTTCGGTGCTCACCGACACTGACGCGACGTTTTGGCAGTGACGTTTTTCTCCTTAAAGCAGGAATGCGTGAGCCTTACCCATAACACCACGCTTACTGCACGTTCGCTGTTAGCATGTTTTATTGAATCCAAGCCATCAGCGTTGTAAGACACTCTCATTTTATTTCCTTTATTTCCAAATTTTAAAAAAGGTCAGTTAAACTGTCATGCAGCAGCAGTGTTAAGCTGTGTTCTTATTTCTGAGCTTTCCAAACGTGAAGAGTTTACCATGACGTGGGGCCCCGGTTATAGACTGTCTCAGTGTCCCCGTGAAAGTTGCAGCCCTGCCAGAAAAAGTTAGCAAGATGACAAATCAGCCCCACCAAGAGCACGCGAAAGCCATTGCTAGGAAACAAACCGTCTCCCGGTAAATGTTACGTGTTCTTAGCAGATAGTGGTCACCGTGTGGGAGAAGTCTTGGACAGATGCTGTTTTCAGTACGCCCGTAGCTTATTTCAGTTCAGTTGGAACTTATGACTGTATTGATGGACAGCAAAAGCAGACATTACAGGAAAGAGAGGCGGCCACCGTCAAGCCTGTCAGTCCGTTCTCCAGTGTGCCTGCGGGAGCCCGGGTGTTCATGGGACACAGGTCTGTCCCCCTCTGCACGTTCAGAGTTGGTCCTTTCCATTGCTGCCCGTGCCAGCCATCGATGTCTTCCGGTATCCCTTCCCTTGGAAATACCGTGGCCTGCTGAACACTGGAATGGTGGTGATTTTATGCCTGGAGAACAGAACCTGAATAAAAGGAAAAAGACCCAAGTCAGACACAATTTTCCTTTTGCCCACCGCTGATAATGTAGATGGTGCTTTAGTGTGTAGACGTGGATAAGTAAATCCTTCAAGGCTACAGGCAATTCAGATTGGTGGCTGGAAATTAAAAATCACACACACTGATTCTGTCCTTACACTGCGAGAGCACACAGAGCAGTTGAAAATTTTGTTAGTGTTTGAGCGTATGTGCTGCTGAAGCGAGCACTTTACCAGTATTTTAACCAACATTTACAAATGTTTAATTTCATGTTCAATGCTGCAGCCTTCTGAGGAGGTTCTCCATTTTAATTTTTTAATCCTTTTTATTCGTTATGATGTTTAACTGTTTTCACCCATGCAGTAGACCCTTCATGCCATCCTTTAATAATTTAACACTAAGATGATTTAGAAGTCAGAAATAATTTCCTAAAAGATACATTAACGTTTCAAAAAGAAATACAATATTCTTCTGCTTCTCTCAAGTGTAAGTGGGCAAGTTTCATTAACATCACTTGGGCAAATGTTGATTAACATTCCCCACTGTGTAATGCGGAGGAATCGCATAAACAGCAAGAACAAAAGGCAGAACACTAATATGCTGGCACAACAAAGGGCTCGTGTAATTCATACCCTCCCTCAGCTCCCTTCAATTCCCCACTGAATATACAATCCAGGGAACAAAGGCCATGCACGCTAAATGGATTAAGATTTATGCGGTCATGCATTTACAAGCTCAAACCAATATTTGTAAACAAGCGATGCCTTCAGCTGCTGTCAGGTCACCCTGCAACTTGTGGGTGTTAAAGGTGATGTTTCATGTCACTCGCGCTGGACAAATTATTTTGTTAAGGGCAGGTGGGAGAAAAACAGCCAGGAAAACTAACTGTTCCACATTAAATAATTGCTATGATTTCTACCAAATAAATCTTTTCCAATGCATTTGATATCTCATTTGATTGCATTGCAATGGTTGGTTAACTAAGGCAATTTCATTTCCAACTCCGCCTGCAGTATTAATTGTACTTACACATGTATAAACGTAAGAGGTGCCTAATTTGTATTTTAATAACTGGGATCTTTATGTATGGCTTATTAGTGCCAGCTCCTTCCTGCACAGGCTGAGTACAGATGTCTAGAAATTGGCCAGTAAATAAAACATTTCCAGAGGCCCCTTTAATTTTAGCTGCTCAGAGAAAATAAATTAGAAGGCAGAGGTTTCTTTTTTTCCCCCAGAAAAGTTTAATGTTATTGAGTGTCAGTCATGCTAACTTATTTCTTCAAAATAGCTTTGATTGTACAAATTTTAAAATCACCTTGCCAAGTCATATTTTGAAACATCGATTTAAAATGACCACATTTTGTAAATGGTGTAAATGTGAATAAACAGGCGCAGGCATTATTTCACCCGTCCGTGACCATTTCGTGAGGTTGCACCTTCACCCCACTTGCAGCACCAAACCCGTCAGAACATGAACTGGGAAAGCACTGTATTTATTTTCGCTATAATATACAAAAATGAACGCCGTTCTACAGTGTAACTTGGTTCTGGACACGAAAAAATTGGTTTTTATCTTAATGAATATGCAAGTGAATTTGATACATCACCAGAACGATTTTAGGCTCTTGCTTGATTTAGTCTTTCTAGTTTCCAGCTTTAGTTGAAGTGCTTGCATATTTTAAGGCTTTTGCAACATTTTTGCTATGCAGATGAATGATCAGATTTTTACTCCTGCTTCTTTTAAGAGTCTTGGGAATCTATTTTGTACATTAAGAGAGATTAAAATGAGACACTATACCAAACTGATTCACCCAAAATTTCTAGGAAACCAGCTTCATGGAAAGGAGGTGGGCTAAGTTATGGTGCGTGCGTACATACATGTAGGAGCCCATGGCCAGAGTGCCACAGCACACCGGAGTAGGTGGCAATAAATACGAACTTTGTTGTTAGTTATTCTGCATTTAACCTGTGCTTTTTGTGACTCATATTTAAAAGCAGAAGCAAAAATAGTTAACCATTAATTACTTAGCCAAAAGCATTGGCTTCACGTGCAGTAAGTTTTGCTGTCTTCTAATGATCTCTCTGGCCACACTTTCTATTTTAATTAACGCCAAGATAAGGATAATCCATGACAGTAGAACCAAGCCCCTGTGGTGAGACACTGCTCCTATTTCCTATACTAATGCAGATGTAGATACAGAGGGCTGGGTCCATTTCTTCCCTTGGCCTCAAGGTCCTGCTTAGGCAGGAAGTGGAAGGTGGGATGTGGATTTCAGTATTTTTAAGGTGAGCCTGCTACTAAGTGTCTTGGGACTGAGATTATGGAAATGGGGCCGAATTATTGAGGCTGGAATTGCTGCTCATGTGCGATGACCCCAGCCGCGCAGTGTGCTCGGCCTCGGCCTCACGGGTATCCACCTGGCCAGGATTACTGCCACCAGCT